ATATCTCAATCAAATTTTAAACTGTATGTCTATAAATAACAAAACTTACTTGAATCCTTATCAGACATTTGCGAAGATGGTACATGCAATACAATGCTTTTAGTATCAGAGTGTTTTTCTTCGTTTTCCACATTAACTTGACCCTCATACAATTCACGCCATATTGCCAGCATACGCTGCACAGTGACTAAAGCAATTTCAGCATCCTGTAAATGTAGCTGTAGGTGGGCTTTGACATGTAATAAATTCAAATTATCAGGAAATTCTTCTAAAGCATCTTCGGCCACAACCAAAGCTTCACGGGGACGTCGTGAAGCGGTTAAAAGTAAAGCAAATAAATGTAAACTGGGTGCATGTTCGGTACGTAGGGCTAAAGCAAAACGTATATGCGTTAAGGCTTCCGGAATGTTATTGAGTAGAGCATATTGCAAAGATAAATAGTATTCGCATAAATGATCATTGCCATCGTTCTGTACGGCTTTTTCGAGAGCATCTAGTGCTAGTTTGTGATAGTTTTCACGTTCAGCTTTTAGCATACTTTGAATGGCTAATTGTTGATAGCCTATGCCCACATAGAGTTGACAACGTGAAGGTCTTAGACCTTTAGTCTCACGTTTAAGGGCTTGATGGGCAAAATCTAAACCCTCTTTAATGAGGCCCAATGATTCATAACACAATTTGGCAGCCAAAAGACAGGGTAAATGATCACCAGGATTTAGTTTCATGGCTTCCTGTAGAACTCTTAAAGCATGCATATGCTTGCCAGCAGCCATTAGGGATATGCCATATTGACGCCAGACATGTTGCTCGCCAAATGAAAATTTCAAAGCTTTTTCAAACGATTCATTCAACAGCTGTATGAGACCCCAACGTACGGTGGCTAATGTTAGCAAATCATATACAGCAGTGGCATTACCCATAGCATGTGTACGCGCCAAACGAAATTCGGGACTTTGTGATAAAACTGTATCACGTACAGCTAAAGCTTCTGCTATTAGTAGTAATAAAATGGTTTCTTCCTGTTGATTACGTGGCACAAATTGATTTCGGGCAGCATATTTCCGGGGTTTCCACAATTTCTTGGCGGTACCACTAGATTTTAAAGCTGAACTAGTACCCTGTTTCTTTTGAAATGGTGCTGTATAAATAGTTCCCGATACACCTCTCAGCAATACTTCAGCCAGTTGGCGGGCTAGTGTTAGACGTAAAGATTGTGTTGTCTTTGTTTCGATGGCATTTAACATGGTACGATAGCGATCGATAGCTTCTTGTAATTTACCAGCTTTTATTAATACTATAGGTGCTCTTTGCAAAGCTGTTTCCAGTATAGCACCCATGCGTCTATTTAGTTCCAAAGGATTTGCTGGTATAGTTGAACTAATTGCCATATTACTGGCAGATTGCTGTACACTAGCATTAATTGCCAAGGTGGAACCGCCTGTGTTATTAGCCGTAGCAGAAAATGCAGCTATATCCTGTTCCTGTAGGTATAGCAAACCCAAATCTGTGGCACGTTCAAAACAAGAGATCTTTACAAAGGAGAAAGCAATAAGTTAAAAAACTCCTATGTACATATATAGTTTTTACTGCTTACCATTTCTGTTTCTTTTTCAGCTTTTTTGAACTTTGATGAAGGTTTCGCTGTCTGATTTTCCAAGCATAGACCTTTAATGGCATACGATTCAGCCAAGATTTTAAGGCTGCGTCTAAAATGTTATAAGCATTGATAGAATAACATTAAGAACAATTTTAATTATGTTTTAGCACTTACAAAGTCAATTCTTTTTCGGCCAAGGTATTTAATTCGGCCTTAATAAAATTCTCTAAACTTTTTTCGTATTCACCACAAGCATAGCAAAGCTTGGCCAGTAGGAGATAAGCATCCAATGCAATGCCAGCTTTTTGTCCATTTTCACCCGTAACCAGGTTAAGATAACGTCTAGCGTCTTGTAAATCATTTTTAGCTTTAGTAAAATTACTTTCAATCGGTAAATTGTTCTCTAAATAACTTTCCAATCTGGCCTCGCCCACCAAGAAGTTGGCTAAGCATTCTATAAAGTAAAAAAAAAACAAACACACAAAATGACATAGTTCTCTACCAGTCTTCATCAAAATTTTACCACTTACCATTATTAGGCGAACCAGTTTTCAGTTCATCTGTTAATTCTATAACTTTCTTCCATTTGCCTTCACTGCGGCAACTTTCTATTAATGCCTCTACTTTAGTGGTATTACGCATCCTTGTGGTCAATTCCTAATACATTTGTTTTACAATGACGTGATTCATACGCTGTTCACAAACATATACAACACTTTTTCCTTATAAATTTGTTGTTTACAACAAAATATTTATATAGAATTTACTATTAATTAATTGAACTTTGATCTTGTAGTGAATTTTGTAATTATTTAATAGGTGTAATAATGATTTATCGTATTTTTGTTAAGAATTTTCCTAAATCGATTTATTTTTACTGGAGAATTCTTCTTCTTTGCTATATCTGACACTCATAAATAATTAACAACACAAATAACGTAATATATGTTTCAGTGATGTCAATTGTAAATTATTAAAAAAAATTATAATATAATAATAATGATTCATATTGAAACAATATATAAACAAATTTCTATTTTTATTCGTTATAAACCTATGTGAATCTCTAAACCAACTAGCAATTTTGGGGAGGAGGGTTAATAACACCTTTAATACTAAACGTAAAGATTTTTGTTCACTCGTTTTCTTTTCAAAGTTCTGGTACTTCAAAATTGTGTTTTTACATACAAAACTACGTAAAAGAACTACTTCCACTTTTGAGTAATAAAAATCATTTGTAACATAATTTTAATTTACAACTAAAATAATAACACTAAAATCACTAAGTTGATACCACTGTTTAATTAATTTTTGTACTTCATCTACTGATTCTAAACAAAAATATTCCAAGTTTTCCGCTATTTGTTTTGACCTGCATTTTCGTTGCATTCACCATAGAGTTATTGTTGTTGGTTTTTAATTCATATGACAGTTGTTGTTATTGTATCAATATAGTAGTTCATCGATAAAAAAACAAAAACAAATTTCACGCAGAATTTCCAGTCATATTTTATCAGCTGTTCAATATATTTTCATTTATTCTGTGATTTACAAATGCGACGACGACGAGAACGCATTCAAAATACTGTGTTAAATTTGTTTAACTTGATTTTTATTCTCCCGATTGGAAAAAAATAAATAAATTTTAAAAAACTGTTATTAGTCATATAATATACAACATTTTATCAATTCGATGCGGTATACAATGTGTGTGGAGTATTAAAATCAGCAACAAAGAAGGGCGTTTAAAATTGGATGAAAATAAAGAAAATAAAATAAATATTTTCATGGAAAAATAAATAAAAAAGTACCTGCATAAAAAAATCATTGAAAAATAGTAAGTAAATCATGATGAAATTAATGTTACGTTAATAAAACATATTTGCTTTTGCCTTTCAAGTTTCATTAAACATGATTTTGTATGATGACTGGAATTTACGCTGGAACTGGTCAGATTTCTGCTCTACCGGAGTTCGGCCATTCGCTAGTGATTCAAATGATTTGCTGCCCTGCTTTCAGGAAATTATTTTACAATTACCTATCTATACGCTGTTTGCGGCAATATCAGCATATCATTTTGGAGCTTATACAAAATGTTTAGTTCGAGATCGTACACAATTATGGGCCATTTATTTGCGTGTTGCGTCTACAATTCTTTTGGCTACATTACCGGTATTAAAACTATTTGAATTTTATCGTTTGGGTGTAAGATTATATGCAGCCGATATACTTGTTGTTTGTACGGAATGTGTTATGTGGGTGGTGCACAGTGGTAAGTTGTTAATAGAATAATATATAAGTGAAATCCCGCATTTAGTTAAAAACTTTGTCATAAACTATATTATTCCAGCATGTCTAATTTAAATTGTATACTTGATAACATACATATCTGATTTATTTGCTCTTTAAATAGTGCAAGGGGATTCACCTTAAACTTGAATTTATTACTAAGTTTTATAATATTATTAAATAATATTATTTAAAATAAACTTTGTTGTACTAATAAACTTTAATATTTACATCAGCAATGTTTAAATTTAAAGTTTCTAATTGATTTTATCTTAATGTTTTCTTTACTATTTCCTACAGGCTATCTCCTTACTTCACGCACTTTCGGTGAACTAAGTCACAGAGGGCCTCTAGTCATGATAGTCATGTGGTTGGCGGTATTTGTATTAGATGCAGTATGGTTACGTTCTAGTCGACATTTTGATTGGTGGCCATGGAGTTTAGCTACCTTACTACTCGATGTTTGTTATGGTTTAACACTTATACCGAATGGTAAAGCAACCTATACAGCAGCCCGCTATCAACATGCTAATACAGAAACAACATCGCTATTATCGCCACGTTATACACACTTTCATTTCGATTTCAATGAAGCTCATTTGGGACATGCCCAAGATGAAGCAAACTGTTTTTCGAGATTCTATTTTCATTGGGTAGGGCCTCTGATCTCAAAAGGTGTGGCTGGAAATTTAAGGCGCATTGAAGATCTCTTTGATTTACCAGATGCTTTAAATATACCAAGAATAAGTGAAAAGTTACAGATTAGTATATCGCGATCGAAGAATTTATTTTGGGCTTTACACAAAGCATTTGGTAAGGAATTTTATTTGATTGGCATTTTAAGATTCATAGCTGACATATCAAGTTTTGCTGGGCCTTTGCTGTTGGGTGGTTTATTGAGACAAGGTTATTCCAGAGATGATTCAAATGAAGAGAATTTTAATTGGGCACCTTACTGGTATGCATTGGGTTTATTTGGCACCCAGCTGATATGTAAGTACCACCATGTGCTAAACATTTTTAAAGTAACTAAATCTCTTTTACTTTTTTACAGATACCTTTTGCTCGTGTCACTTTAATTGGCGCATGTCAATGATTGGCATGAAAATGCGCATTGGCGTGGTAAGCGCTATTTATCGTAAAGCTTTAGAAGCTCGCGGCTTAAAAAATGCTCGTCCCGAGGTATTAAATCTCATGTCTACCGATACCGATCGCATTGTCAATTCTTGCATTTCTTTTCACTCATTCTGGAGCATACCATTCCAATTGTTTACCACACTATATTTACTGTACACCCAACTAGGAGCTGCCTTCATAGCGGGTGTTATTTTTGCCGCTGCTCTTATACCCATTAATCGTTGGTTGGCCAAACGAATTGGCCATTACTCACAAGGTCTTATGACAGCTAAAGATGCTCGTATATCGGCTACCAGTGAAACAATTACGGGCGCGAAGCAAATTAAATTAAATGCTTGGGAAGATATTTTCATTAAGAAAATCTTAAACTTTCGTAAAGATGAAATGAAGTTTTTGGCTAAACGCAAATATTTAGATGCCTGGTGTGTTTATTTTTGGGCTACCACACCGGTTCTTATGTGTTTTTTGACATTTGGTGTTTCAGTATGGATGGGAAATCCTTTGGTAGCATCCACAACGTATACCAGTGTGGCTTTGCTGAATTTACTTATTGGACCATTGAATGCATTCCCTTGGGTACTGAATGGTTTAATAGAGGCATGGATTTCGGTGAAACGGGTTCAGGAGTTAATGGATGTAAGTGTAAATGTAAAGCAATGATTTCTAGAATTGGCTTAGGATGTGTACTAGAACTGAACTAGAACTGAACTAGAACTAAACTAGAACTGAACTAAAACTGAACCAGAACTGAACTAGAACTGAACTAGAACTGAACTGAACTGAACTAGAACTGAACTGAACTAGAACTGAACTGAACTAGAACTAGAACTGAACTAGAACTGAACTAGAACTGAACTAGAACTGAACTAGAACTGAACTAGAACTGAACTAGAACTGAACTAGAACTGAACTAGAACTGAACTAGAACTGAACTGAACTAGAACTAGAACTGAACTAGAACTGAACTAGAACTGAACTAGAACTGAACTAGAACTGAACTAGAACTGAACTAGAACTGAACTAGAACTGAACTAGAACTGAACTAGAACTGAACTAGAACTGAACTAGAACTGAACTAGAACTGAACTAGAACTGAACTAGAACTGAACTAGAACTGAACTAGAACTGAACTAGAACTGAACTAGAACTGAACTAGAACTGAACTAGAACTGAACTAGAACTGAACTAGAACTGAACTAGAACTGAACTAGAACTGAACTAGAACTGAACTAGAACTGAACTAGAACTGAACTAGAACTGAACTAGAACTGAACTAGAACTGAATCTGAACTAGAACTGAACTAGAACTGAACTAGAACTGAACTAGAACTGAACTAGAACTGAACTAGAACTGAACTAGAACTGAACTAGAACTGAACTAGAACTGAACTAGAACTGAACTAGAACTGAACTAGAACTGAACTAGAACTGAACTAGAACTGAACTAGAACTGAACTAGAACTGAACTAGAACTGAACTAGAACTGAACTAGAACTGAACTAGAACTGAACTAGAACTGAACTAGAACTGAACTAGAACTGAACTAGAACTGAACTAGAACTGAATTAGAATTGAACTAGAACTGAACTAGAACTGAACTAGAACTGAACTAGAACTGAACTAGAACTGAACTAGAACTGAACTAGAACTGAACTAGAACTAGAACTGAACTAGAACTGAACTAGAACTGAACTAGAACTGAACTAGAACTGAATTAGAACTGAACTAGAACTGAACTAGAACTGAACTAGAACTGAACTAGAACTGAACTAGAACTGAACTAGAACTGAACTAGAACTGAACTAGAACTGAACTAGAACTGAACTAGAACTAGAACTGAACTAGAAATGAACTAGAACTGAACTAGAACTGAACTAGAACTGAACTAAAACTGAACAAGAACTGAACTAGAAATTTTTATTAAAAAAAAAAACATTTTTTGTAAATTATACTATTTTTTATTAAAAATTGGATTTTTAGTAAAAAAAAATTCTATTTTAGCTAGAAAATTTAGACTTTTCTTCCTATTATGATCCCATAATGAAAGGAAGCTCCATGACATCGGTCGATGATCGACCGGTAGTATTACAATTCAAAGATGCCACATTCGAATATGACATGATTAACAATGATGATGATGTACAGACAACAACATTTACACTGGAAAATGTTAATATGGAAGTAAAAAAGGTAAATGAAATTGATAGGATTTGTAAAAAAGTATATTTTTTATATATAAATTGTATTGCAAAATTTCAGGGCGAACTTGTATGTATTGAAGGACCAGTGGGAGCTGGTAAAAGTAGTTTCATAGCAGCCATAGTAGCCGGTATAAATTGCTTAAATGGTTCAATATGTGTACAAGATTTTACCTCAGGTATGATGATTTTATACTTTTTAAAATAATGTAAATAATAAATTTCGTTTACAGGCTTTGGATATGTTCCCCAAACTCCCTGGCTGCAACGTGGTACTAT